TTGTCACACCTGCCTGACAACAGGCTGCTCGAAGTATCCAACCCGGGACCTCTGAATCAAGTCCTGTCCCTCTTCCGCTTCCCTACGGGCTTTACCTATGGAAAGCACTGAGAACTTATTACCTTGTCAATTAAAGCAGTCATTTCATTTGCATAAATCATTTCATATGCATAACAATAATAATGAATAAATCTTTTTTCATAGGGAAAACCAGTATGCAAACCACTATCTTGTGGTTTTGACTTGTTCCACTGGACACAATTTGCTAGAGGCTGTGTACCATCGTATGATGAAGGCTTATGCTGTGGCAGATTATTTATGAGATGCCGTAAGTATAAAAATAGGGCAATTTCGCGATTCAATATCATACAGCTGATTTAAGGATATCTTACATATATCATTACTATGAATATTGTTTTGACCTAACTGTTGCTGTAAGATTAATTTTGTATCAACTCTATAACCATGCGAAGTTTCATCAAAATCCCGGAAGAGTAAACCTGATGTTTACCTTGTTAGCGTGCTAAGTACGAAAACGATGGTCTGGCAGGTTTCAGCCCTGCACTTTATGGTCGTCCGGGCGTTTGAAAGTGTAAAAACAACTCGGCAATTAAACATGTTCTTGTAAGCTTAAAATTTTTATACGATTCAATTTATTCATTGAGTAGTTCAAAAATAAAATTGTCAGACCATTTCAACCCGCACAAGTATCTGCCAGACAAGACGAAAGGTTTACTTTTGTGAGCAAACTATTGTCCTATAAGGTTAAAATTTATATACTCGTATATATGTTTGTCTAAGCGATTTTAAAAGGTAGCCCTGTAACTATCAAGTTTCTACAATTTCACGGAACTTGCCAACAACTTTGGTACATTTTTTAATAGACGGCTACTCAAACTAAAGCAATTAAAAAAATTCTAAATTCATAGTTTAACAAATAATTTTAACCCTAAAAATCTTGAAGCAATTATGTCGTTATTTTTGACTGCGAGACCCAGAAATATTATTTACGGTTACGGATCCAAAGTTTAAATGAACAAAATTAATAAAAATTAACAACAATAATCGTCACAGCTTCACCAAAGCTGTAGGTTACGCTTGAAATCTTCAAACTACATATAATAATTTTTTCATGACGATCAATATATCACCCCGTTTCGGCTTTACGTTGAGTTCTCTATATACACCTTGTATTATTGGATAGATTATTTTAAATATAAAGAAATGTTATATTTAAGTGGTTATCACTGAATGAAGTGAATTTTGCAAACTAAGTAGATGATTTTCAAACAGCTAAGGATACCGATGTAGTAATTCCGAGCGAAAATCCAACACCATCTAACCAGACGTGCAAATTTGGTTCACTAATCCTGAACATTGGAGATTCAATACCTTTTGATCCAGAAACCTGTGATGAATGTGCTTGTCAGGAGCCACCAATGCTAACTTGTTCGGGACGAAAAAATTGCAGACCTCTGCGTGTTGTTTGAGTGATATAGATTTATATTTGCTTAAATGTAGCTAATGTTTTTATATTAAAATTACTTCATTATATTTATATCTATTACAATACATCAATATATGTTAAGATATGCTTTAAATAATAAATATTGAGTTTTAGTGTGAACATATCTGTGTAGTAACAATAAAAATTAGGATGTTACAGCGGCCGAAAGTTTTGCACTTTTACCAAAAGCTGGCCGAACTATCCCTTCGAATATTTCCCACCCAATATATTCCTTGGAAAAATAACAACTAATGTTGAAACTAGTCGGTATTGGTATTACATGAACTTCCCGATATGTGTAAATAACTGACTTAATCAATAAAAAATAAAGTAAATTATGAGTGATTAAAAGTATTCCGAGTGGATTCATTACACATATTTGAAAACGAACGAACACGTTAACTCGGAGTATTTTCTAAAAGCAAATTTTCAAAAATCAACAATTTTTATAACTGAACCAGTTTCCGTAGGAGTTTAATAGTTTAGTATTACCAAGTACTCTATTGTTATACCAAGTAAATCGTGTAATTTTAATTTTAATCGACGTCAAAAAAACTACTCATTTTCTCAAACTTTGATGAATTTTTAAAATTAAACTACTTGTCGTAAGGCCATAAATTTGCAGTAAGTTCTATAAGACCATGATATATATTGCCGAAAAAAGTTCTATAAAAATCGATTTAAATTTTTTCTCAACAGTTTAATTACAAGAAAACGGCTCGGTAGATTTTCAACTAAAACTAATCAGTATCCAAAACTGATATCTCTCGATTTATGTTTTTAATTTTTTAAAATCGATTCGGTAGTATGAGCTTAAATGTGGACGAAAAGTTCAACACTTTTTTTCCAAATTACATAGAAACGGCTGATCGTCGTACAAAACTGAGAAACGATAGTCCTCGTCGAGATACATCAAATGGCTTTTAAATTTCTGAAATCGGTTCAGTCATTTCTGAGCAAACGTCGATGAAAGGTTGAATTTTGACAAACGCCAAAAAAACGATACTAATTTTTGTAAACTTTGACGAATTTTTGTATGATCTAGAAGACTATGGTAACTACAGTCAAAAAAAAATCATGAAAATCGTCGAAATTTTTTTTTTAACACTTTATTACAAGAAAACGGCCCGGCCGATCTTTACCACAAACTAATCAGTACGATTCCCAACCAATATCTTTCGAACAGTTTTTGAATTTTCAAAATCGATTCAGAATTGCGGGCTAAAACGTGGACGAAAAATTTTTCACTTTTGTGCGATTTACAAAGAAACGGCTTGGCTGATCGTCGCGTAAAATTGATAAACGCTAGTCCTCGTCGAGATATACATCAAATGGCTTTTAAATTTTTGAAATCGGTCTATAGCCATTTTTGATAAATCGTCGTTTACGGCAAAAATCTGTTCACATACACATACACACACACACACATACATACATACTTTTTCGAAATTTGGTCTCATTCGATTCAAAATGGCTTGAAACGTCGAGAAAACATAAAATTAGCAAATCGGATTTTTTAATGAAAACATAAACTTCTTCTTCGGGAAGTTAATTAAAAGGTAAAAAAGAGTCAAAAAAGAATAACAAGATATGCGGCGAAAAAATAATATCAATTTTTTATAAATGTAAGCTTAACGTAATCTGAGTTTAACTTATACATTAAGGCGGGTCGATTTAAAAGTCACTTAGGCACATTAATTTTTGGATACTAGGGATCAAAATAAAATACTTTGCTGAAGAAACCATACCTCTAAAATGAATTCTTATGTCCCGTGCATTGACCCAAAGATAGGGATTGAGTTTTGAAAAGTTGTGTTTTGACCCATTCAGAGTGCTCCAATCGTGTCCAAATGTATAACCGACCCCCACTAACTTTAGAAGGCCGATCCACCATGCCTATGGTTCACCTCCTGGGACCTCCCCTTAGAGGTCTTCCATACAAATATTGCAAAAAACATCGTTTTTGGTATTTTACTCAGCAAAAAATGTTTTTTTTAAACATTTTTTTCAGATATTAATTCAAACATACACAAAAAACTTTTTTACAAAAAAAAAATATTAAAATTCTTCTTTGTTTCAATTTTTCCAATGCATTTTGTCTCTGCGCTTCTATGCTAGCTAGTTATAATTCCGATCTAGTTTTCACAGTTTGGTTTTTAGATTGAAATTTTGTGGCGGTTTTGAAGGTATATCGGATCAGATATTTTGGGTAGGAATTTCTTAAGATTTGTGTTATTAGTGAGAATTTGTTCTTCAAAAATGTATTATGTGACAATAACGAAGCATGATCTATTAAATTGATGATTGATCCTATTTTAGTAGAAAGATGATGGTAGTAAAGGTAGTTAAGGTAACGACGCGAGTAAGTTCGTTTATGTTGCCAATTGAAAATTATATTAATATTTTCGCGGTAAAATTGTAGATGTAATAGATTAAAACGTGGAGTTTTGTAAATGATTTTTATTAGAGAACGCGGATGTAATGATATTATCAATACCATAGTCATAGATGAAAATTGCTCTGACTCTTCATGTAGTCACTTCGATAGTTTCATTATTTTAATACAAATTGATGTTTCACGATTATTTTGTTCCTTTTTAACTGTGAAATTAACTTACCTTTTTTAACACAAGATGATTACTTTTATTGTAATTCTTATAGTAATCCTTCCTGATTTTAAGAATGCAATGGCAAAATGTGATAGATAAATCATTTAGAATACGAAACCCGCAAAATAAATTCTATATTAATTTAGACAAGTATTTTTGTAGATAGGCATTAGGGACAGGAAACTAAAAGGAAAATTGTAAATAACAATTATTCAAATATTATAAATAACACTAAACAACTAGGGATAAAATTGTATTAACAAAATTGACATAAAATGTAAGCAAATCAGCAACAACTCTTAATGGATAACTCTTAATCAGTTACAATTAAATAAAACAAATTATAAAACTAAATCATTCACTTCATTAAAATAAATATTACTAATCACAATCAAAATAGTTTATTAAAAAAAACAGTCTAAGGAAGAATTAAATAGCCAAAAATAATGTTTGCATATAAAATTTGTTGTAATGTAGTCTTCAAAAATATCTGATATGTCAACAGAATGGATTATTCAAAAAAAATACATTGTTTTTGGTTATGTAAATCATTCGCTAGCCAATAAAATTCAATGTAATTGTTAAAATATCACATCATCTATTACTTAAAATATACATTTGCTGATTTATATATATATATATATATATATATATATATATATATATATATTTATATAGCCGGTCGGTCCTACCGTGAATGCAACTCATGCAAAAATAAAATTTGTCAATGGGGGGTCATCATATGTAGTTTTTCATATAATTTCAATGACAATAAAGGCGTGTGAATATAAACAAAAAGTATATATAAATATATATATATATATATATATATATATATATCATAAAAGAATATAAATATAAATATATAATATATATGAGGCTATATTAAATTAAGAATTACATATCGGTAGAGAACGATCACTTCGGATCTTCAATTTTGAAAATCATTAACTTTCATTTGCTTTATTTTACTTGAAACAAACTCCATTTCATGAGAATTTTGCACTGACGATTCATTTTGTATACGTAAGTCTTCTAGAGATTTGCTCTTTTTTATGTGATGTTTCTCTGCACAAATATCCACATGGTTTAGTTCTGATTGAATACTTAAAATGAACAATTCACTTGGTGAAAAGCATTCGGTGAAGTTAAACTCAGAGTTTTCACTTTTAGTTCTGTGCCTTTCAGTAATCGAGTACGGTTTGGTTCGGTAGTTATTTCTTTTTAACTTCATAGTGCAACCTAATGTCACGTTGTTATAGCTACTATTTATTTTTATGACATTAATTATTTCTTCATCTAGCAAATCGTGCCCTCGGATCTTCTTAGTCTTGACTGGAGTTTTAGGTGCAACAAACATCTTACTCATTTTAAAAAAATTATTATATCAGCAGTGTATCAATATACATTTATATCCCTGCAATTAAATAAATGCATAAGCCTAAGTTGTTTTTATGCCATAAGTAAATAACATAATCAGTTTACATACCGCTCGTAATTCATAACGGAAATATTTGATAAATATTTCTATTTGATTGACAGGTACAGAAATTTTAGACAATAACATTACATATAAACATAACCGCACAATGACAAAACACGCACGTCACACGGCCTGCTTCGAATTTTTCATAGAATACGAGTACACGTATGTAAAATGGTTGTTACATCCCTCTACAATCATTATCATAAATATACTAATAAAAATATAGTTAAAATTTAATTGGAATCATTTCTGAAAATGGTATCAAAACAGTAGTTAAAAGGCGACATATTGAATTATAATTTATCCGGCACATGCGCACGGTGTGCGGTGTGGCACGGTGCCGAGCCGGAGAAAGTGATATAATGTGCTCGGCGAGCGTCAGCGGCAGCATAAGCTCGTCTACGGGTAGTGTGGTAGTATAAAGTATATGAGGTACAAGGTACAAGAGCCTGTAACTGCTTATACTTATTAACTTCCCGAAGAAGTTTCTGTTTTCATAAAAAAAAATCGACGTTCGAATTTTTTGCCGTAAATCGACGTTTTCTCAAAAACGGCTGGACCGATTGCAAAAATTTAAAAGCCATTCGATGTATCTCGATGAGGACTAGCGTTTACCAATTTTGCGCGACGATCAGCCAAGCCGTTTCTTTGTAAATCGCAGAAAAATTTTTCGTCCACGTTTTAGCCCGCAATTCTGAATCGATTTTGAAAATTCAAAAACTGTTCGAAAGATATTGGTTGGGAATCGTGCTGATTAGTTTTTGGTAAAGATCGGCCGAAGCGTTTTTTTGTAATAAAGTGTTAAAAAATTTGTTTTCGACGATTTTCATGTTTTTTTTTGACGGTAGATGCCATAGTCTTATAGATATAGATCATACTCAAATATTACGGCGTTACGACAAGTCGTTTAATTTTAAAAATTCCTCAAAGTTTGCAAAAATTAGTATCGCTTTTCCGGCAATTATCAGAATTAGACCTTTCGTCGACGTTTGCTCAAAAACGCCTAAACCGATTTCAGAAATTTAAAAACCATTCGATGTATCTCAATGAGGACTATCGTTTGTCAGATTCGAGCGACGATCTGCCAAGCCGTTTTTTTGTAATTTGAAAAAAAGTGTTAAACTTCTTGTCCACAATTAAGCTCATAATTCCGAATCGATTTTAAAAAATCAAAATCAGTTCGAAAGATATTAGTTGGGAATGATACTGATTAGTTTTAGGTAAAAATCTACCGAGCCGTTTTCTTGTAATTAACTGTTGAAAAAAGAATTAAGCCAATTTGCATGGAACTTTTTTAGCGATATATATCATGGTCTTATAGAACTTACTGAAATATTACGGCCTTACAAGTAGTTTAATTTTTAAAATTCATAAAAGTTTGAAAAAAATGAGTAGTTTTTTTGACGTTTGTTTAAATTAAAATTAGACGATTTACTTGGTATAATAGAGCACTCGGTCTTAATGAACATACTAAACCATTGAAGTCCTACGAAAACTGGTTCAATTATAAAAATGGTTGATTTTTGAAAATTTCCTTTTTGAGAATATTCCGAGTTAACATGTTCGTTCGTTTTCAATTATGTGTAATAAATCCACCTGTATTAAATTAATTCATTTTTTATTGATTAAGTGGATCATTTACACATATCGGGAAGTTCATGTAACTTGCCTCAAGGCAAAATACCAATACCAACTAGTTTAACTCTAGCCCAAAAACACATTTAAAAGTTGTCATATGTATTTTTACAGCTATATATTTCTCAACTGATCAAGATACATAGCGATGCTTTTCTGACGCAACCTCGTATCTCAGAAACTACTACTTTTCAGGAGAGACAAAAAACGTTTTATAACGAATTTTTGAACTGCTGTTAACAATTTTTTTTATAAATTTTAAAAATATTCAATCTTGTGACAATTATTTGAGACAAGTATGATATTACAAACAATTAATCATTATTTTTTCTTCAATTCTTTGAGATACGTGTTTGTCGCACGGAAAAAAATGTAACATACGTGGTTGCGTCATGCTGTTTTCAAATAAGAGTACATGAATAACTTTCTTCAATTGTTTTATTTTGAGAATCGATCAACTTTTTAAATAATTCTTAATAAAAAAAACAAACATTATTAAACTTGTGGTATATGTTAGTTTATAATTACGACAATATAGTATCTGGCCATAGTTTAGGTATTTCAATATCTAGGATATTTAGCTCTTTCATGGATTTATAATTTACTACTTTGTGATTATCATTTTTATTGTTACTTTTATTCTTTTTTGTTATTATTTCTTTATTTAATGATTTTTTATCTGCGGATGACACATTATCTAACTCTAAAAAATACAAAATTTAATTTCATTTATTGTCAGTAAGAATTGATAATTGTTTAATTTTTGTAGCTTACTGTGATATTTGTTCTCAACATAATAAAAATATAACTAGTGGTGCATGGCATCGTGCCTTTAAGCAAATTGGTGGAACTTCCCGTTCCGTAATTAAATAGAATCGAGGAATAATAAATGATTACAAATAGATTATTGTAAGTACTATAACTTTTGTTATTTGTATTTGAATGACAAAATATAAGAATAAACTGGACAACGACGTTTATATATGTTTACATAAAAAGTAAATAAAAGTAAAAAAAAACATATCTCATATATATTTCTAAGAATTATATAAACTAATTTGCAAATTTAAATTTATTTATTTGAAGTATATAAGAGAGTTTTAGAATTTTAGCTAGCATTAAAATTAAAATCCGAATCATTTTTCATATTTAAACAAAGAAATAATTGTAAATTAAAAAAATGGACAAAAAATTCTGCTTTCCTAAACTAATCGATTCTTTATACTGCAAAATGTTCATTGAATCATTCGAATCGGAAGCTTTGAAACGACTGGGCCTGTCTTTTCCAGAAACTAATCACCACGTCATCAATACAAATTGAATGTTTTTAAATAATTCAAAACGGATGCTCTGTTTTCTCAATAGGAAACGATTGTTTTTTGAATGTTTCAAATCGGTTGATCTGTGCTCCTGAAAACGTGGACAGAAAATTATATCCACACACACACACGCACACAAACACATACATCCATTTTATTAAGGTATGTCAAGATATTCAGAAACCTCTGAAACGTTAAATATGCAAAAAGTTTCATTTTCAATTTTCGGAAAATTACTATAACTTGCGGTAAGTAAATAATAAATATATTTATTAACTATCGTTCATTAAGTTTTAATAACAAATAACTTAATTGAATAATAATTTTTATTAGAAGGATTGAACTAAACAACATTGCTGACAGCGAAACTTGTTCATATACGCCACTATGTATTCTGAGATACGAGGTTGCGCATGGCACATTTTTCTGAATTGAGATACGTGATTGTATTTTTCTCAATAAAAAACGTTCGGTTGATTTTTTTTTTACAAAACTTCACAGATCTATGCGTCTATATTTAGTGATTGATTTTCCGATTAAAACTCAAAATCGTCAAAAATCGAGTTACGAGGTTGCGTCAGAAAAGCATCGATAGGCGATAAAATAATTGTTTTTTGCAAAACGTAATGCTGTTTTCTTGAGGCATCTACTACGCAAAGTTTTACTTTTTTATTACTTCAATTACGGCCCTTTTTGGGTTTCATAAGATTGAATTAAAATTTTTCAAATTTGGAGCAGCCGTGGGTGGCAAAATGCCACGGGCCCCCGACTCAAGGGGCGCCCGGGGATAAGAGGCGCGTGATACAAAACATTTTTGCACATTGTGCCTGAATATTTTATTTAACTTAAAAAGTATATTTGCTTTTTTAGTTCCTAAAATCTAAAGTGGTACAACATAGCCATTTCAACACATTCTAAACAAAAGGTTCTTGATTAGATTTTAATTAAGATAATTTTAGAGCATCCATTGGTTTCTTCATATTTTATCGAGTGAGCATTGACGATCGGCGATGCCGTTTCCGTGAGCTAGCATCACTATATTAGGAGAATTATAGATTTTATAGCGTTTTATAAGGGCTTTACCCAGTGGCCGGGGCCGCGATCCAAAAAGGCCCCGGCTCAAGAGTCCTCGGTTTCAGAAATATGTTTTTACATTGTACCCGTACCTGAGTTTTTTATTTTTCTTGGAAGGTATATTTCATAATTCAAGTTCTGCATGAAGTCCATAGTGAGACAAATAAAAAAATAATCATTCAAGTTAATCGTTAACCATTTCAATGCATTCTAAACGTTAATGCATTTTAGCGTTGTGCAATTATTTTGACAATTTTGAGTTTTTGTAATTTGTGACTAAGTAAACTTGTTTGTGAAAGATAGATTTTAAATTGTCTTGTTCTTGAAAATATTTAAGAGAAAGCAAAAAATTTGGGGAAAAATGGAAGATTGAACAAAAAAATAAAACACCACCTAAAATACAGTACTTGAACATTTTTGACTTCATTCATAATAAGTTAGTTGGGTGAACAGAGCTCTCAACATGAAGAATTAACAATAGTATACCGCAATTCCAGATGCAATATCAATGACTATCACATCCAGAACAACTACGACAAGGTACTAAGAATTATATAAAAAAAATGAAGAGAATTATATTTTATCGACAACAATAAACGATACTTGGCGAAAAGGCCTATTACAACTGAAAATTTATTGTAAATGAAGACACCAGGCACCAAATTTATCTGAATTCTTGTATTTATAAAGCGGCGGCCATATTGAACACTAGATGAAAAGTCCATAAAAGGGGTGTCTTCGAATACGCACGTTCATCAATGTATAAGATTTGTGCAGCCAGAAAGAAAATGCAGATAGCAGTGATTCAAGGCCCTAAGGACACGTTTCGAATATTGTTGAAACTGTTCTGGTTCTAAAAGTAGAAAATGCAGTCATAAATAAAATAACTGTCACTGTATTTTATTCTATACGTTTGCTGAGGTCCAAAAAGCATCAGATAAAGATGATGAAAAAATAAAGTTCTTTACTCAAAAAGATCGAAATTTACAACCTAATTATGTAAAACATCATTTTCATGAGTTTTGCAAAGAAGAACGTATCCAAGATCTGGAAGGGTTCTTCAAATAAAATAAACATATTTTATTAAGAATTAGACATAGTTATTATACTAAAAGAAATCGTGGTTCCTTTCCAATGAATAAAATGGGTTCATTTCCGTATTTTTCAGCTTTACTAATTTAAATATTAAAAAATCTCTAAAAATCGTTAATATATATGAAAAGACATCTGAATCTGTCAAAAAAATTCAGTTTTCTATCCACTTTCAAAGACAAAATAAAAAAAAATCAGT